CCCCCCGACTCCCCCTGCTGCCTTTTGCGCCCCGTTTCGGGTGCCGGGGGCAGGGAGAGTGCCCGGGATCCATTACCGCGGTGCAGAGTAAGTGGAGGGAAATAGAGGTGTCTGTGACAGTAATTGACTTGGCTGGTCTCCCTCCCTGCTCTGCAGTTAGGCCCCGCTCTGTTCCTCCCTGGGCACTCTTCAGGGCTGTTCATGGCTTTATGAAAATGTGCAATGCTAACTTGTGAAACCCTCAGAGCTCTTAGCACCGTTCCTCTGTACAACTTCAGAGATGCCCACATGCACGTCATTTACCTTGTTTGCATGGTAGAGGAGAGGAATTTTTTTTTCTAACAAGATACTGTATTGATACCAGCTTTCTGAGCTGCTGCAGTCAGCATCAGAGGTATTGTGCTTCAGATAGTCTAGAGGTGTGATTTATGTCTAAATATTGTACAGAATATTACAGAGAAGCCTCAGTAATTCTCACTTTGCTAGTCTATACATTTGGTAATCCTCATCAGAAACCTTGAGGAACTCTCCCCATTTCTCAACAGAGATTTCATAGCAAAGCCAATTTTGTAATCCTGTTTAATATTACTAAAATGTACTACAGACTATTTTAACATGTTAAGTTTGGGTGATGATTAAGACTAGCCCACATGTTTCAAAATAAGTGTTTCTTCAAAAAAAAAAAGTGTGTTCTTTTATTCCCTAATATGCAAAGTTCAGCAAACTGCAGTGGATCTCTAGCACACATTAGCATGCTGCGGTGCATCCAAAGCAAGAATACTTACAGGGACATTGTCAGGTTGAAACTGCTTTCCAATAATAAGCTCACTGTAGTTTTTCCCTGAGTTCCAGCCAGTTTTGCTTTTACATTTCCTTTTTAAAATACTTTCCCCTACAGTTTTGTAATCAAAAGGGAAAATAGTAGTGACTAAGGCCCCAATCATGCAGAAAGAACTATGAAGTTGAAACCCTGTTCCCTCAGAAAGTGGATGCAAAGAGCAGACACTGGAGATCCCCTCTGTAGGAATGGGTAACTGACTACATTGTGGCAACAGTGACATTGGCTATACAGGGAGTGCGGTTGCATGTACAAAGTAAAGTAATTTTTCCATAATTTCTTTAAATAGTAGTAACCAGAGATGTTGCTTGTTACAACAGCAAGTAAAAAAAGGCACAAAAATGATTTAAGTTGATGGTATCCCATTTGCAAAATCTAAGATTCTCTGCTTTATCTTTCTGAGCGCTTAAAATAAAATAAATTAATGGAGATATCCTATCTCCTAGAACTGAAAGGGACCTTGAAAGGTCATTGAGTCCAGCCCCCTGCCTTCACTAGCAGGACCAAGTATTGATTTTGCCCCAGATCCCTAAGTGGCCCCCTCAAGGATTGAACTCATAACCCTGGGTGTAGCAGGCCAATGCTCAAACCACTGAGCTACCCTTCCCCCTGCTTGTACACCCTTCCACTTGTGTCGGTATAACTTATGTTGCTCAGGGATGTGAATAAGCCACCGAACTAAGTGCTGGTGTGGACAGTGCTATGTCGGCTATAGAGTCTTCCCCAGATGCACTATGCCACCACTGTAGTGCTTCTAGTGTAGACTAGCCCTAAATGTAACATGACACCCGTAGGAGGTATTAGGCAGTGGAGGTCAAACCCCGGACCTTTGGCTCTAAAAACATGAGCCTCTACTAGCTGAGCTAAAAGTCCCCGTTATGTTGCATCAAAGGTTGTATAGATTCGAATCTCTGTGTGGGACAGCCATATTGATCATGGGTTATATAAACAATTTGAGAAATTAGAAGTTTGTTTTAAGAACTAGCTATATAAAAGAGGTGATGGTATTAGGTTTTAAGTATCAATGCGTGTCAGTAGTAATATTACATAATTTTTTCATGGCTCTTCAATAGCTTATGGGAATTGACTCAATTGGGCTCCCTCAGTCTAGGTTCCACTGAATAGGTGTCCACTTAACAATCTATCATCACCACATCTGACCTCCTCATGAGTCTCAGCAGAGGTACCAAGGATTGAACGGATGTGGTGGATGAGTCCTTTTCTACCTCAAGACGGCGTCTATTCTTGATAATTTTTAAAAATTATCTCACTATGCTGCACTGGTGGAAGACTGGTTGCAGATGTTTTTATCACTGAATTTTTTTATTCTAGTACACCTCTACCTCGATATAACGCGACCCGATATAACATGGTAAAGCAGTACGGGGGGGGGGGGGGGGGCGTGTGCACTCCAGTGTATCAAAGCAAATTCAATATAATGTGGTTTCACCTATAACGCGGTAAGATTTTTTGGCTCCTGAGGACAGCGTTATGTCGAGATAGAGGTGTATTTGTGACAAAGGATTACTACATCTGAAAGATGGAGTATGGATAAATCTCAGAAGATTTGAGTGTCTCTGCTAAGTATGCTTCTTCTATATCCTTTTGTGGGCTATGTCTTCACTGAAAAAAAAGGTGTTTACAATAGGGCGGTCACGCGATTAAATAAATCGCGATTAATCACATGATTAAAAGAAGTAATCACGATTAATTGTGCAATTATTCACACTGTTAAATAATAGAATACCATTTATTTAAATATTTTTGGATGTTTTCTACATCTTCAAATATATTCATTTAAATTACAACACAATATAAAGTGTACAATGCTCACTTTATATTTATTTTTGATTACAAATATTTGCACTGTAAAAAACAAAACAGTATATTTCAATTCACCTCATACAGGTACTGTAGTGCAATCTCTTTATAATGAAAGTTGAATTTACAAATGTAGGATTATGTACAAAAAATAACTGCATTCAAAAATAAAACTACAAGTCCACTCAGTCCTACTTCAGCCAGTCGCTCAGACAAACAAGTTTGGTTACAGTTCGCAGGAGATAATGTTGCCTTGTTTACAATGTCACCTGAAAGTGAGAACAGGCGTTCGCATGGCACTGTTGTAGCTGGCATTGCAAGATATTTACGTGCTGGATGTGCTAAAGATTCATATGTCCCTTCATGCTTCAGCCACCATTCCAGAAGACATGCGTCCATGCTGATGACATGTTCTGCTTGATAACAATCCAAAGCAGAGTGGACTGACGCATGTTCATTTTCATCCTGTGAGTCGGATGCCACCAGCAGAAGGTTTTCATTTTTTGGTGGTTCAGGTTCTGTAGTTTCTGCATCGGAGTGGTGTTCTTTTAAGACATCTGAAGGCATGCTCCACGCCCCATCCCTCAGATTTTGGAAGGCACTTCACATTCTTAAACCTTGGGTTGAGTGCTGTATCTATCCTTAGAAATCTCACATTGGTACCTTCTTTGCGTTGTGTCAAATCTGCTGTGAAAGTGTTCTTAAAATGAACATGTGCTGGTTCATCATCTGAGACTGCTATAACAT